GATTCACAGGGACAGGAAGATGCACGCAAGTTTGGGGAAGACCTCCACAGTCGCCCCGAAAGAGGAGGTGCGGAGTGCGCGGATGACGAATTTAGGGCCCGAGGGAGAAAGATGACACCATACAGCTGACGAAAACGGGGGGCATCAGTGATTCTGGAACGAGGCAGAACTTAAATAACATCACCCATCATACCAAATCTAGATGTGACTATGTCAAAGTTAAACAATTGTATTCAACAAACCACACCTCGGATGCACTTAAGAGAAAGCTGAAGCCTGGGATGGTGACGCCCGCCTGTAATTCCAACACTCTGGGAAGCTGAGGCAGGAGGATCATTACCTGGGCTTCAAAGTGACCTCAAAGCCAGCTCAAACTGCAGAGCAAAACTGTCTCCGAAAGAAGAACGAGACAGAGACAAAGACAGAGAGAGATCGCTGAAGTTTGAGAAGACTTTAGCACATCAAAGTGCCCAAAGACAGGAACTCAACCTGAAGCAGAAAAGGTAAATCTCAACAGATAAGAGTAAAAGGACGCAAGATTTTACCATCAGGCTGAAAAATGCACAAATCATAGCTGCTGGCGCTGGGGAGCACATGTTGAAGCGGGACAGCTGAGCAGCAGCGGTGCACGGAGAGGAGCTGCAACCCCGGGGCCGCGGCTGCCGCCGAGTGGGACGCCTCAGCGCCCCGGCCCTGAGCCCCGGAGCGCGCGGGAGCCCGTGTCACCCACCACGCCGGCGGGCGCGGGGCTGGGGCGACACCTTCCGGGAACAGCAGCAGGGCCAACAGAGACCGGGGCGTCACGGCGGCGAGCGCTCTTCCAAGGAACGCGCTGAGGTGACGGACTGAAGCCTAAGATGCCCGAAGCTCCGGCCTCACCGAGCGGCCCAGGATTCGCGCCCTCGGGCCCCGCCGCGGGCAGCGACCAGAAGGGAGAGGGACACGGACGCGAGGCGCGGGGGTTCCCCCCGCCGGCTCCGGAGCGCCGCTTCCCCCCGCGCCCGCCCGGCTGTTTACAGATCCGTGGCGCGGGCGCGCGACCGCTCCTCCAGGTAACCGCACTGCCCACAGGCGGCGCGCGCGGCTGAACCAGAAACCGCGGGCAAAGCGAGAAGCTCCGCCTCCAGGGGGCGGGGCCTGAGACGGCTGTGACCAATGGGCGGTAGAGAAGGAGCGGGGCTTTGGGTTTGGCACGCCCAGGAGGTACAAAGGCCGCAGAGGTCTTCCGGGTTCCGTAGCGATGGATGGAGGTGAATGGAGCCCCGAGAGCGTGCTGGGAATGTAAAATTTGAGAAGGGGAGTGGGAGGTAGGGTGAAGAGGATGTTTTAGACGACGGAGCTTTGTGTTTACGGCTACTGATTAAAGTTGCTGTGAGGATTAAAGGAATAAGATTTCAGGTGGTCTCTGGCCGATGGCCAGAGGGAGTTGCCTCCTGGCACCCCGTAGGTATCTGTGGAATGAAATGGAACCGGGACTCCACCGGCGAAGGACTGCGCCCAGGGGCTGCGATTGGCCTCGCTGCCGCCCCCACAGCCCCACACCATGCCCGCATCTCCGTGGAATGCTCATCTATCTCCTCTGCGGTGTCTTTAACAAGTAAAACGCGGCTCTTATTATAGGGCACGAACTGGTGGGTGCCCCATGGTAACACCCTGAAACAAATCCGAGGTGAGAGGGTGTTAGCAAGCATCCAGAAGCTCGCACATCGGAGTATCATTGGTGTGTAAGCTAAAATAGGTGAAATGAATTTATGCCTTTCAACCCCTCTCACTGCAGAAAGCGAGTAAGAAACAATAGGGCAAACATGTATGTTACCTTAATTCTTTGCCCAGATATGGTATGGTTAAATATAATTTCTGCTGAGGGCTCTGTTCATCTCCTTGATGAGAGACTCTGACCCTGTAAGGTGAAAAGTGTGTTCCAACAGTGCATGTCGCCAGAGCAGGTTCCCAACCTGACTGCTGCTGTTTGTGCGCAGAACCGGAGCCTCCTGAGGCGTTAGTGGAAGCCCTTGTTTCTGGGAACATAGACAGCTGATGGACTGTATTTGTTTTCCTCTGTAACACTAGACTCAGAACTAGCAAACTTTTATCTGTAATGAATCCTCAATTAGCCGTATTAGGAAATGCAAGGGAAAACAAACTACATATGAGTGCGAAGATTTCAAGCAAGTCAATAATTTCAACTTTCAGAAGAGTCTTGTACAGTTCTTTTTGCTCCCCCACCCAATGCTAAATATCTGTTGATTGTTTAAGTTAGCCACTTTTCTTTTTGAAAAGAATTTAAAACAGTTTGTTTATGGTCTTTCAAATGTATTATCAAAAGTATGTGTTGACTCTTAAGCCAGAACAAAATAACCCATATGGTAGCCGCTGGACAGTGAGAAAGGAGAAAGCCCCACCACTGCGGGGTCCCTGCCTGCTTCTAAAATAACCCCCAACCCTGTCCCTGCCTACTGGCCTGAGTCCCATCTCACTTCAGGCTTCTGAATAACACCTCTGCATTCTTATCTAGTACTAGATGGGGTGGACCATCTCTAGGCAGCTTCTAGACACTCTGGTTTGAGGTTGGGAGGAAGCATTTACTGTTGTCTTTCCTACTTCTCTCCTCCCTGGTTCCTTTGGTCTGGGATAGTCCCCAGTGTGGACAGCACTGTCATCTGTGGGTGAGATCCAGCTATGAGGGACAGAGGTGCGGTGCAGACACAGACCCAGAGCTAGCAGCTCTCCAAAGTGCCCAGTTGGCTAAACTGCGGTTTCACTTGCATTTTGTCTTCACCATGCCCAGATGAGTTACTTTCACTGACAATGAAATGACTGTAGCTACAGCCCAGCTGAAAGTGACAATCTGAAGCATGGCCCCAGCACTCAGGGCAAGAGTGGACCAGGATGACAAAAGACAAACTTCCAAATCATGTCATTTATTTTTTCTTAATTGGATTTTACAGCTCATCAGAGTCTGCTGGTTCTCTGTGGAGCTGTATAAGGATCATGTGGATATGCTGCATCCTCTGTCCTTCTTCCAGATCAGGACACTCAGGGACATGTGCACACGCTGTGCAGGCGAGAGAGCACCGGACTTGTTTTCCATTCCCATGAAAAACAGAATCAGTGCCCAGCGTGGAGTGCAAAAAATCAGAGGGCAGAAATGCAGCAACCCTTAGGACCCTTTGCCTGCTCCACTTCTGACCTTTGAAAAAAACAAAGGGAAATTCCAAGTTAGCAAGGCTGCTGATAACACATACATTGCCTTCATGCCAGTGAGCAAAGCACACAGCCTTGTGCAGGAGGATCCAGCCCTGAGCCTCGAGGCAGGGAGAGAGGAGCAGAGCCCGAGTCGCAGGCTCACCTATCCCTGCATCTCTTGGCTAGGTGTTTTTGTGCCTGTGCTGTAGTTCCCTGGATTCTATGATCTTGAAAGACCTCAGGATTAAGATTAAGGGGATGAGTGACACCCAGGAGATTGTGGATCCCTACATAGACTGTGCTGCTGATGGAGACCACAGTCTCTCAAAGGATGGTGCCAGTTCATGGCCTGGGAAGTGAAGCCTGAAGCAATGCTTGGCTGTGAGGGCTGGGCAGCCCACGGGCCATGTGTGGCCTCCTCTTTTCAGCTTGGCCTGCGCTCCACTCCCAAGGTAGGCATGGGAATCTGGGGTAAAGAGACCCTGTGCAAGCACCCCATTAGGGCTACCTTTCCCAGCACAGGAGGCAGAGACCTGCCTGGGACCTTGACAATGTCATTGTAGTTCATCTCCTGGTCCAAGACAGGAGCAATTCTCTGCAGGCAGCTTCAAACAGGAGCTGATCCCTGAATTTTCCAAAACTCGTGAAAGAAGCAGGGAAGGAAGGAGTGTGGTCCTCTAGTGAGAGCTGTGCTCTTGGGTTGCCAGGTGTCACTGGTTCAACTGGCAGATCAGTGGGCAGGCTGCATAGGCGTGTCATTTATCAAGTATATTACAGGGCTGCAGTTCACAAACTACCAAGTTGTACTCTTTGCTCTGGAAGTTTAATGTGTGACAGCTGCATGCAGCCAGTGGTGTCCAGCATTTTAAAAAGGTCAATTAAGAAACGGTTAATGGTGGTGCAGCTAATGACAGCCCACAGGGGTGAGCAGGGCCACCTAAACAGAAGGACTGAGACGTATATTACTGGAATTGAAGTGTCGAAGTGAAGCGTGGTGGAGAGGAAACCTATTGTCACAAGCCATAAAACATCTTAGTTTGCAGTGGTGAGCAGTACAGCTGTTGCTCCCCCCACGCTCCCCTCCCCCCCGGGGGGTGCGGCCTGTGAACGGGAACAGAGACAGAGGCTCAGCCCCACAAAGGGTCCTCCCACATAGGCTCCTGCAAGCTGCAAGGGACTTATCCCCCCTCTTGGCGGCTGCCCGTGCTTCTGCACTTCTCAGGCTCTTGTTGGGGGTGCGAGGAGGATCTCAGAAGTGGGTCATGTTGTAGAAATCCTTTGTTTTCAGCGCCCCGGAAGCAGGTCCGCTGCTCCTTCAGCGAGCGTGGGTGGCCGCTGGTGTCTTCTCCGGAGCCACCCCCACTGCCGGCTCCAGGCGCACAAAGCGGGCCACGGGCCACCCTGGACGCCGAGAGAACGCAAGGGGGACACGAAGCACCTATGGAGATCTATGCGGGTCTGCCGCAGACCGGGCTCAGCATCAGGAAAGCACTGTGCGGGGCTTATTTAGTATTTTTTAATCAGACAAAGGAGTCTTAGATTAAGTGCAGGGCTTCTAGGACAGGCCCCCACCCGGCATCTACCTGTCAAGCTAGAAATTCAATAGCGCAACGAGAATGCTAATTGATATGCAAAACAGGTCTAGGGTTCCTAGAAATGTCTAATGATCCTCCAGCTCATTACGAATGCAGAATTAAGACGCACTAAATGAGAGGGGAGTGGGAACTGCAGCTTTTCACGTCTCCTTTTTAAAACCTACTTTGGGAAGCTCACAGGTTTTATGATTTAAAAAGAGAGTACTGCAATCAGTAGAGTTTGTCTTTCACACACTGGATATTTATTATTAGAAAATAGCTTTTATCAGCTGTCAGTACCAAACAAGTCGGAGAGAGCGTGCTTCTCACCATAATTTTTCTCTTTAATGATATTTAAATAAACAGCTCACCATGTGGAGAGTCGCCACACCTTTTTCCCTTTAAAAACTGAATAATTAAACGAGGTTTTAGTACAAAACATCCTTCAAATATGACTTACCCTGCAGTCATTATGCTGTTTCCTTGAATAAGGGATATGAAAGAGATGAAAAGACCACTCAAGCCATCAAATTACCCCAGAGAACCCACATTAGAAACAAACTAACCCAAATAAAACCCAGACAAACCAAGAAGCCAGTTTTTACATTGGCTTTTCGATTTTCATTATCATCTAAGTTTAATATATATATTTTTCTTGAAATAGTAAAAAAGGAAGAATTGAGTTGCATTCTTAGCAGGACAACCTTCCTCACATGTTAAAGAGGTGTTCAGAAAATTCCGTACAGTATCTGCTAAATAAACATGTTTGGCAGCTTAGCGAGTATCATGTGACTGCAGCATCCATGATTGGAAGGAAACAGCATCGCTTTCTTCGGGTGGAGTCTGTTGCTCCGGCGCTGTGCTGACGCAGCTCTGGATGTTGTGACCCACAAGACGAGGGAGGGCTCAGGTGGCTCAGTGCATGGCCCCAGTGCAGAAATCTCCAAACCCCAACCACGAATCCACCAAACGGCTGCACCAGCGTCAGACAATTGTCTCCTTTGAGTTCCTCTTGCCCGAGTGGAGGCCCAGCAAGGACTGCTGGTTAGAAGGTACGTTGACAGACTTTGGAATGAGGAGAATCACCCTCTGATTGGTCCTACGCCATTCATTGTACAATCGACAGTGGTACCTAAATGACACCTGGGGGAGGGAGGGGACGAAAAGACGATGTAGGTAGGCAGAAGCAGGTAATCCATTCAAGACATAAAAGTCATTAAAACAGCTTCAGAGGGCCAGCAGCAGGACGCAGGGCGAGAACCCTGGGCGACACTGTGCTGGCCAGCAGCTGAGGTGCTGTGAGGTCAGCATCAGCCCAGGTGCCACAAACATGAACACAGCAGGGCCTGCTTGTTGGTTTATACCACACAGTGGGAAAAATCAGGAGATGAATAGGAAAATGAGGTTCTTTCTGAGTTTGGACATATTTTTGGGTGGTGATGTTTGGGGCCCCAAAATATCCACAGTGAAGAAGGCCAGCTGGGAGCGGACAGAATAAATACACTTCTGGCCTTTGTCTAGTTATGCGAACAGACAGGTATTCTGGGTCTTCATGTGTTTTCCTGCAGGTTAGATACTGTACCACTCAAAGGACTCACTACACTGTGGACACCCTGCAAGGCTGAGCACGCGACTGAGATCTCTGGCCATCGCTGTACTTGTTTTTCTCTCCCCTTGCACTAGGAGCGTCCTGAGAGTAAGGCCGGTTACTCATACATGTGCTGTATTCATTTCTGCATGTCCAGCAAGTATCATAGTGCCTGGCACTTCAGAGTTTGCTGAATGCAAGAATGAATGACTGAATGATTATCCTATGTATTCTGACTGCAATAATGATTAATTTATATAATTAATACCTAACAGTACAAGTAGTGAGTCCTATGGTCAGTTGTGACATCTCTATATGCCAAAAGTGCTTGTTTTTTATGTAAATACATACAACACTCAGTCTCTTTGTTTAGGAGAACGCTCAGGAGAGCTGATAGCCTGCTCAGGAAATTCACAATCTGCACTTTTGAAGATGTCCTTTAAAAACCATGAGGGTACATTACAGTTTGAATACATCCATATATCTAGATCAGTGCTGGAAAGCAAGGTGCCCATGAACTCAGAGTGACCAATCGCCCCTGCTGGGCTATCCAATTGTCTGGAGCAGGTATTCTGCACAGACCCTAGTAAGTGTCCACAGAGGTCAGCAAGTGGGCTGACACAATGCTTTAAGCTCGGTGTTTCTGGAAGAAGAATACAGGTCCTGACCAGAAAGGGCTTGTTATGGCAAGATCATGAAATTCAAGGCCACTCACTCAAATGTCTGAGGCAAAGAAGCACACACCACAGGTTAAGTTCCAGGGAGATCAGGATATGAAAACACAAGACTTTAAACTAACACAGGTGTCTTTCTCCAAAAGGCCCTGAATGTGCCAAAATGGATCAGCTCTACTTTCTTTTCTTTTCTTTCTTTCTTTTAAATCTCGATTCTCTTATATCTATTCTGTCCTACTGCTGCGTGGTGCTACTCAAGAATGTAGGTGAGGCTGGAAAGCCTGCTGCTCAAAGCAGGCAGGGGGTGAAATGTAGACACATACAAATGAGTTTTGGCAACAAAATAAGTCTGGAATCTTGAAATGCTATAGGAGAGCTGGATTTTAAATCAAGAGCCCCTTAAGTGCCTGCTTTGCAAGCAGGCAGTCGTGAGTTCGATCCCCAGTACCGATAAAAAGGAAAAAGACAAAAAAAAAAAAAGACCTAAATCAAGAGCCCCTTCTTCCATTACACTGAGGATCAAAGCACACTTGGCCTTAGCAATCCGAGATGTTGAGGATACAAGAGACCACAGACTAGGGCTGGGATTTAGCTCAGCGGCATAAGCACCTGCCTTGCAAGTGTGCAGTCATGAGTTTGATCCCTGGTACCAATAAAAATGAAGAAGAAAAGAAAAAAAAAGAGAGACCACAGACTCCGGGGCCAGGCCATGGACTAGAAGCCCTGTCCTGGACTTAGCGAGGTTATTGGTCATCAGTGACCTTTAGTTTCCTTATTTATAAAATAGATATTGATATCTAAAATAACAAATTGAAGCAGTACAGTCTTGCACACATGTTCATGCTCCTGGCCTCTTATTTTTCATGCATTAAATATATAAATGCTGGGAAACTGAAAAAAGAGACCGAGCTGTTTCCTTGAAGGCTGTGCTTTCAGTGTGGCCATGGAGCAGCAGCAGGAGGCATCTCCTGGGAACTTGTTAGAATATCAGAATTTTGGAGCCCACCCAGACCTGAGGAATCAGAGAGTGCTGTTTAACAAGATCCCCAGGTGATTCGAATGTACATCCCAGCCTGAGAAGCACTGCTTCAGGAGCGCCAGGCATCAGTGACTTAGCAGGGCTCCCCGTCCCTTGGCCAGGAAAAAGATGTAATCTATATAATTGCTGTTAACTACCAATAAGGAAGCATCCTACCAAGATGATCCCTTGTCAGGGAAAAGGAAAGAAGAGGAGGCCACAGGGCCCCGGAGTAATGTCACCCTGTTTCTGGAGGCTCTGCCTCCTCTCAGTGCGGCATCACAGAAAAGAAGGTTTAATTCAGAGAAGAGGCAGTGAGAAAAAAAACAACATAAGCCTAAAAACTGATACAATAATAATGTTAAGAATTCAGCTAGATCTTGAATTTCTAAAGTTTTAAGGATACAGAAAGAAGAAACGGCTTAGGACAATTATTTTTAAAATATCACTCCTTATGGAATAATTTCTCGAAGCTAATTCATTTATCCATGTAATGGAACTAAACTATCAGGAGGAAGGTCAGTTTACAGTAAGTTGCCTGAATGGGGGAGACAGTATCCATCTCTCCTCCTCAGGAAGGGAATGGAGGCCATGGAGAAGATTTGCTGTGAAGTTGATGCCAGCTTTGAGAAATCTAATTACATCTTTCTGTTTTGCCCTGTCTCTCAGGAAACAATGGCATGACTTACGCAAACAGATGGGCCAGGGCGTGATAAACTGCCTTCTCTGCAACGGTTCTAGCTCAGGCCTCCTGGACGCTGCCACAGAAGAGGACTGTTTTGGAGGACACAGGTGGTGGAGAAATACTGCCCAATGGTGTGGCTGGCTGTAGGCTGCTGGGGTCATGTCTCAGCCACTGCCACGCTCCGAACACACCCTGAACACACCCTTCCACAGCAAGGATTTACAGGATCAGCCGTGGGACTTAAGAGTCCACCTTCCAGCAACTTGGCGATTCACACATTTTGTTTGCATGAGGCACTGGCAAAAGACTTCTCATGCTGAGGCGCTTGAACAGCAGCTTGAGCTGAGGCTGAGACCAGGGCCTTTCAGGGTTTCCATGATTACATGGCCCTCAAATCATTGTGACACAAATGGTGACGTTTCTGGGGGTCCACCTCCGGGGGTGCAAATCACTGAGAGTCGGGCCTCTGGGGTCCCAGGTGAGCTTCTGGAACACACCAGGGTGCAGAGGGGAGGACTCCCTGAGTCTACATCCAGACCAGCTTTCGTGGGAGCACGTTCAAAGGCACTTGGAAACGCGCAGCATGATGCTGAAGTGCTGGGTGGTGAGGTCCTTCCAGGAACTCGCTCCTCCTTGGAGGAGCCAGGCTTGGACTGACACTGTGTTTGTTTATCTAAGACATTTTCACAGCATATTCTCCTTAAGCTTGACAGCTTGTTTACAATGGGTTTCTGCCTAGGGCAGTTTCCAAGTGCTGTCAGCTCCTGAATTACTGCGCTTGCCAGGGCTGCTCAGAACAGCATTTATCTGGGAAGGAATTATTCTACATTCAGCACCCTACTGCTGCGCACACGCCACAGCACTGCTCTTCACAGCCCAAAGGGGAGAAATGCCTTCTTTCCCTCCTGCCACTCTGTGTTTTATAGAGGGCTGCGGAGGGTGGAAGCTGGGGGGCAAGAAGCCACAGAAAGACAACCCAGGGCCACAGCATGGCACTGGGGCCTGGATGTGTGTTCTCAGATACTATTCTAGGTAATCTGCACAACACCGCTGACCCAGAGCTTATCAATGGTTGTCTTCATTTTTTGTATAAGAGGACGGATGAGTAAAAAGGGTAAGTTTTTATGGAACTTACACCTCTAGTCAGATACTGCACTGGCCTAACACGCAGGCCCTGTGGATTCTAAGCACATGTCTCTAACCACACAACCCTGCCTCTTGACAGTATTTCTGGAGTGAAGTATTTTATTTTCCACAAACAGCCTAGTCTAGGTGCCTTTTCCTTCCAAATCTTCTTGTCACCTGGGATGGGAGATGAAACAGGGTCTCACCCATTTTTTTCTAGGTAGCCTCCCTTTTTTCTCCCTTTCTTTCCTGGCTGCTCACCCTTTCTTACTTGTTAGGTAAATGTGTGCTTTGCAAAGCAGGTTTTCAAAGAGACCTTAAATTAATTTCAAAAGCCCAGCATGGAAAGCCTCATCTCTATCCATCCTTCATCATTTGAACTCTTCTAAGAAATCACATACCAGAAAATGTCTAAAAATGGTAAAAACTTAGACCTAGCCAATGTTTCCCTAAGTACTTTCCTATGTATTCTTTCACATTAATCGTGTAACAGCAGGGCGGATGGCAGGTGGCCCTTCCCTGTGTTTCCACTTCCCAGACAGGAGACTGACGCTCAGAGACATGGAGTCACTCCCCAGGGGGGCAGTGGATAGAGTAAATGCAATCAAGCTATTTAACTTCCTGTTCCCACCTTTCTCTCATCACAGTACAAGCTTCTGGATCAGCCTCATTCACAGAGCGAGGACACACTTGGGAAACACAGACTTGTAAAGGAGGCCATGATAGTTCTGTTTGGGGCTTTGTTAGCCTGGGAACACAATATCGAAATTCACCAGGAGAGAGAGAAGTGCTTCACATTAGAATACTGCCAGTCTACCAGTGCTTAAGCCATGCTCTTTCTGAGACTGAAATGTGTGCCATGACTGTGTGAACACTCCCAGGGGAGGGGGGAGACAGAGCTCGTAGAGCCACAGGATGAGTAGAGAGAAATGAACAGGGTCCTGAGAGTGTCAGCTGATGGGACAGGGCTTAGGAGACAGAGGAAGGGAGGAAGTGTGAGGCCTGAAGCAGCTTCCAAACGCTGCCGCTGTGCTGGGGGCTGTCGGGCAGTGCCCTGCACACAGGAAACACCTGCTGAAGAGCAGGGCAGGGTGCTCAGCTCAGCAGCAGCCCGGCACAGGACAGGGATGCCAGCAAGCAGGGCCCGGCTTGGAAGCCATCTTAGGAGACGGTGATGTCTTCCTTCCTCTGCAGCTCCCACAGGGAAGCATAAAGAGAGAGCATTAGCACTTTGTGGGTGCTGCCAGAGGGACCCACGCGATCAACTTGCCGCATGAAGTTAAAAGAATGAAAGAAAAAGATATTTAAAAACTCTTCCTCATGTACAGCAGGAACACTTGTCAGGGAATGGCTTTTCTTTGGTGGCAGCTTCTCAGCTGATAAATAAGTGCTTTTATGGGCAGCAGAGTCAATATTCCAACACACTGAATAATCAGCAGGCAAAGTGCAGCTCCACGTCTGACAAAGACTTGAGGCTGTGTCGGGACATCAGAGGAAAGAGCCAGCAGCGAGGATTCATGATCTGTGCAGGTGACGGCAGCCGCCGCCGCCAAGTGCATCGTTCATAATGTACTACGATCCCCACAAAAGTGAGAAGCAAACAGAAAGAAACTGTCATGGCTCCGAACAGATGGGAGTCCTACACTATGGGAGGAGAGGATCGTCCAGGGTATATGCCACTGGCAGACACTCGGAAGAGCTGAGCTTTCCCTTTATTTGATCTTTACTTTCTTGCAGCGTTCTGTCTCTGTCTCTGTCTCTCTCATTACACACACACACACACACACACACACACACACACACACACAGACTCCAAGTCGCTCAACCTCGCCAGCCTTTGAAGGTCTACTTCCTTTCTACGGGGCAGGTGAGACGCACTGCTGACATGGGGCGAGGCTCTGCCTGCCGTGAGTCTGCCAGTGCCAGCTGGCTTCCGCCCCGGCCACAGACCATACTTACCAGTGTCCAAAAGAGGTAAATAGTGAAGAGTGCGACAGTGAGTGCAATCAGGCCGACGGCTTCGAGCCGACTGCTAAAGTGCAGGTGGTCCACGGCGCCCCGCAGGCACAGCCAGCCCGAGATGGTGGCCAGGGGCGTTATGAACAGGAAGCACACCATGTCTCCAAACAGAGTCCGCTTCTCGTGCTGGGGACCAGGGTTTCTGAGCCACTGCCAGGAAAGGGGAGACAGAAATGCAAAGGAGAAGAATAAATGCCAGTGTGGAGTGAAGACACCCGGCTCTGCCGTTACCTTTGTCCGAAGAATCTGGGGAGAGGTCTTCTGACCTATTCTGAAAATAGGCTGAAGACAGGGCATTCCCGTGCCCGCCCCCCTGAATAATAATGATGATGGTAATAACAACAATGAGTTTACAATACCCTTGTCAGGGCATTCTGATCCACAGTGATTCTGTGTAGAACACAGAAAGATATACTCTCGGAAGGTGGCATACCTTGGATGTGTCCTTAGAAAGCCACAGTAAGGGCTTGGTCCCTGGGGTAGCGGGATCAGGAATGCTATGAACCTGCAGGAAGTGCACCCTCCTGGAAGGTCCTTAGGTCGCTGAGGACATGCCCTTGAAGGGAGTCAGGGGCCCCAAGTCTGATTCTTTCTGCTTCTTTGCTCAATCTTCTGTCACACACACTCCTGCTGTGATGTGCTGTCCTCACCAGAGGACAGAAACAATGTGATTGTGGATTTTAGGCTTGACCTGTCAAACCTTGAACCAGAAAGAAACTTCTCTCTTTAATAAATCCATTGTTGCAGATATTTTGTTGCAGTAATGCCAAACCGACTACTGCTGAAAGTAACAACTGACAGGTGAGAAGTCAGGTCAAAGCCTTCCAGCGTCCTGGCCTCAGGAATGTTGCAGAGGAGAGCCAATCCAAAGGGCAGGACTGCCTGAGTCCTGGGCATTCCCAAGAAAGGCATGTTCACAGGACTGGCTGCCAACTGTCTCCTAAGAAAAGAGCTCTGAGTCCTGCAGTGTTCTGTTTGATAAGGGCATTTTGCATCCCTGAAGCGTAGGGCCACACAGTACACTCTGATCAGATAGTTTGTGCCAATAATGTGATTTATGTTGAATGACTATTTTTGCATTCCTGGTCCAGAGTCCTAGTAGCTCAGGTCACTTACACAGATATTTCATCCCTGTGTGTCCTATCCCAATAAAATTCCAGATAAAGGCTCATGTGAGTGTCCTTGATAGATAACACATGTATTATCATAAATAGTGCTAGAAAAATTAGGCACATCCATGCGACTCTACTGGTAAAAGGACATTTGGGAGCTTGTACCTAGTTTCTCCCAGATTTAAACCACACACCTTTTCCCTTTTCTGCTTTTAAATTCTATCCTTCCGCTGTATTAAATTGAAAGCATGAGTACAACAGGCTTGGTAAGTTCCGTGAGTGCTTCTCGTGAACCCTGGAGCCTGAGGGTGGTCTCAGAGATCCCCAACACAGACCAGGCCAACCTGGACTCCATCAGTTCCATAATGCTCGTTTCTTGGCTCTTAGGGCCTTGGACCTTCTCATTTAGGATCACTTCTGACCTTGTGATAATGCTATCATCTCGAGTGAATCAACTTCATGGAAAGCTGCAGGCCTTTTGAAGACTAGAGGTAAGAGTCCTAGAGGAAGGAAGCGGGCTGCTGTCCTCCCACTGGGTGGCTGCTGGATACCTGCTGAGAAGCTCTGTGCACTTCAGGCTGGTCCAGTGCTTACACTCCGGTGTCAGCACAGACTGGGAGAGAGGCCCGGTGGCTTTTCTTCGGGAACCCCAGGAAATGACATTGCCACTTCACTGTCTCACGGAGTGGTGACAGAAGCCAGGGAAGGAATGGCCTCCCAGGCAGTGAAGTCAAACACAAATGATGAGGCAGAGTGGGCGACACTGGTAAACTGTGTTCCTTCCTATCCCGAGCCTGCGGCTCCCAGCACTGTCTCTTCCTGCCTGGTATCGAGCAGTGCCGTCTGCAGACACTGAAGAGGAGTGCTGCAGGCTGCTGAGCAGAGACGCCCTGCGTGGCTGGGACAGCAACGCCCACCAAATACTGATGCTGTGGGAGGAAAAGGAGTGGGCGAGGCTGCCTGGAGAGGGAAGGGAAGACAGGTCTCGCTCAAGGATGTGAGGAAGCAGCGGGCCTTGCTCAAGGAAAGGGGGCGCCGTGCACATGAGGCGAGAGCGGACAGCAGCCCCTGTGACGAGCAGAAGAGGCTGGAGGTAAATGGTGCAGCCCCAGTGTGCTGGGAGCCATCAGTCTCCAGATGTCTGTCCAAGTGCCCACCATGCCAGCATCCACAGGTGACGTGCCTTAAAAAGGCCAAGATGCTGAAAGGATGCTTTCACCTCTCGACTGGATGCAAATGACTAACATACACGCGAGAGGAAGCTGCCTTGTTTGCAAATATAAATATGACATGATAAATATTAATACAAAGACCAAGTGATCAAATGCGAATACATTAACCCTACCAGGTGCTGCCATGCCACCTCAGACATTTCAGCAGGGTCAAAGAAATTAAAACAGTGCTCTAATGAGTGACACTTTCTTTCCTAAATAATGTAGTGGGAACATCACTATGAAGTGAACAGCAGAAACAGGGCATTCTCATCACTATTTTAGAGGCTCAGTAAGCTTAGATGACTGCTTGGGGCAATGCAGAGCTCACACTGAGAAGAGGAACAGGATGTCTTTACTCTTACTCACATACGGGATCAGTGAAATACTTGGAAATTAAACCTGCAGTATATTCAGACATACACAGTCTAGAATGCTGGTGCTCACATTGCAGCGATATGGTTTCCCTCATGGTTTGGATTTTCCCTGAAAGTAGACTGGAAGCACACGGCACTCCCTTTGTGTCTGCATTTACTGGAGCACAGCAGGCCCTCAATGAGTCTGCTATCTCTGTGCACCGCCACTCTAACCTAAAAGCTGGGAATTCTTGACATATTTTTATTAAAACTAATGTAGCATTTTCCCTATCATATAGCCATTGGCATGGCCCCAGGCAGTGCTTCAGATGCAGAGAGGTAATTAGGGATCGCTGTTTACTGTGATGTAAAATAAATGGCAAAAGGCTGAGGGTACCGAATGTGCTATCATGTCCGAGGCCCTGGGTTCGACCCCTAATACTCCCAATAAATAGATAAAACAAATGAGACAAGGTAAAATAAATGTGCAAAAGACAAACTAGAAATTACAATTTTGTGTTCCAGTTTCCAATTTTTCAGTTGCTGATTTTCTGTATTCCCGAAAGATTTCCAGGTCACTTTCTAGACCTGGAGTTTGCACCTCATGACACATTTTATTTGGACCTTATACTTCTGGTAGAAGCTGGTCTCGGTTTCCGCTTTGTTTTGTTTGTTGCTAGTCATGTTATTCTCATGGCATTCTCAGATACTGTTATGTAAAATGTTTCTTCTTCAGAACTTTGTTACTTATTGCAGACAAATGCAACCCTGTGAGCACAAACAGTAGCAAGGTTAAAAAACACTGACCTCTGCAAGTAATTTCATTTTGTATTGATATGAAACGTTACTGAGCAGAAAAAATTCTACTGGAATCTACGCTATGACCCTGTATACACAATTATCTGTCTACACAGACACAGATATTTACATTTACATAGGTACAGTGATTTATATAGACAAAGACCAGAGAGACACAGGGTAAAACAGTAGTTATTCTTGATAGTGGGATTGTAAGTAATTTTTAATGTTTTTGTTATTTATCTGATTTTTCTAAAATCATGGATTACTAGTGTAACTAACACATGTGTATGGAGACACACAGAAGTGAGTAGTTGGGGAAGGTGGGTGAATTTAGCTAGTGGACAGCAAGATAAAGCAGTGAAACGCGAAACCATCACGAGCTGTGGCTGGGGTGGACGAGTGCTGGAAGCCAGCAGTTTGTTATGTACCATTGCACCGAGTCCTGTGAACGAGGTGCTAGCAGGATCTCCATTTCATAGATGCAGATCCTGGGAACAGAAAATTTAATAACCCAGCTGGGATTTAAGCCAGCCTCGCATTTTGTTCCTTGCTTTCCACATTAACATTTCTTTTTGCACCGGTGCTAAGTGTGTGTGTGCACAGTTGCCTTGTGGTAGCTTTTGTAAAATCTCAGTTAGATGGGACGTGGTGAGTCTGTCCTGTTATGGAGAACCTCAGGTAGACGAATGGCTGCTGGCTAGGATGCAGTCATGGCAGTTTCATATACTTTTCTAGGCTATTATTCTTTTTAATTCTTTTATCAAACGATAGTGAGGTTCAGTTTCTGGGTGTTTAATCTGAGCTACACTATCATGCATTCTGGCCTCGTTCATAAAAGACCAAAGGCTGATCTCCTCCATTACTGTTGTACCATGTTCTTGGTTCTCTGTCTTCTGCTCTCTTACTGGCTATGCTTTCTGCGCACTGTAGCAGTGCCTATTCTGCACAAGGGCCTCATCTCCTCGGCGTTCAGCCAGTGGAGGACTAGCAGAGGCAGAACACAACCTGTACACTAGTGGTGTCTACCGCAGTTCTGATGCACAGTGGTAATTCATGCTGAATGATGACAACAGCCAGGCTTCCTCAGCCCTCACTGTATCCCAAGCATTATGTTACACGTTCCATGGAACAATCCAGTTACTCTCCAATAGGCTTTGAAAGCGGTACCATTATTGGCATTGCCATTTTACAGATAGGGGAAAATGAAGCCCAGAGAAGTTAAATAAAACATAGTAGACTGGCTTGGGTTTAGGTAGTCTCGTTCTTAGTAAAAAATGGGGTGGGGGCAGTGAAGGGAGCAGAGGATACCATAACTGTTCTTATCAGTGTAAGAAGGGATATTTACCCATAATGGTTCCCCCAGTGGAGACACCAACTAATTTATGCTGCTATTTGTGGACAACTTTTGCAGCTAAAATACCATTCTTGAAGAATCTTTAGTTTAAACGTACTCTTCAACTTATGCCTGGTAGTTAACTGTATTTTAATGGACAAGGCTAACAAAATTGAGATGCTAATTTGTGGGACATCTTTCATTTGGCTGGTCCACCTGTGGGGTCAGCAGGGGCTCCGTGGGCAGCCCCAGGCATCTTTCCCATCTCTTATTCTCTGGTTCCATCAAAAACATGAAGCAGACAAAGATCATGAAGCAGACAAAGAGCCCTGGCAAC